ATGAGTTTGGTTTTTCTGTGAAGGACCTCCGCACCCGGATGGTGATTCTCCGCAGTGATTCCGAGGGCGATCTCTATCGAGTGACAGGCGCCTCGTCTCGCCCCGCTCTCCCGTTCGCCGGTGCAGTCACCACTGATCTCTGGCATCAACGGTAGGGTCACCCCGGGCGCGCTCCGATCGCCGGCCTCAAGTTCGCCTGCAACCCGTCCTCGCCACACTCCTGCCGCGCGTGTCGTCTGGGCAAAAACACGCGCCTTCCCTTCCAGCAAGCACATAGCCGTAGTTTCTTTCCTTTTCAATTGTTGCATCTAGATGTCTGGACTTCTCCTGTCACCAGTGTCTCTGGCTACCAATTCTACCTTGTAATTCTTGATGATTACACGCACTATGTATGGACTTTCCCTTTACGACACAAGTCTGAAGCCTTGTCTGTCCTCGTTCAGTTTTATGCATATGTGCAGACTCAATTTGAGCGTCCTCTCCTTGCATTGCAAACGGATAATGGCCGCGAGTTTGACAACGCTTCCACTCGCTCTCTCCTCGCCACTCACGGCACCATCCCACGCCTCTCCTGTCCTTATACGAGCCAACAGAATGGCAAAGCTGAGCGGATCTTGCGCACACTCAATGATGGCGTCCGTGCTCTGCTGTTTAACTCATCCATGCCGCCGCAATTCTGGGCCGAGGCCCTTAGCACGTCCACCTTCCTTCTAAATCGTCGGCCCTGTCGCGCCAGTTCACCCACGACGCCGCACGAGCTCCTTCTTGGAGTTGCGCCTGATTACGCTCCTCTCCGCGTCTTCGGGTGTTTGTGCTACCCCAACACCTCCACCACCTCTCGTCACAAGCTTGATCATCGCTCGATCGCCTGCGTCTTCCTTGGCTACTCGTCGGATCACCGCGTCTATCGTTGTTTCGATCGCGCCTCGGGGCGCGTTCTTACCTCGCGGCACGTGCGGTTTGATGAACACACCTTCCCATTTGCCAACCCATCGCCCGTCGTCGCCGCACCACCTTGTCCACCTCCCATCTCACCACTTCTCGCTAGCGGGCTCTGTCCGCCTTCGCGATCACTCGCATCCACTGATGATGCATGCTCACCACCCGCGCCGAGTCTCGGTTCGACTGGAGTGGCTGTATCGCCATCCAGCGGTCCCGCCGCCTCCTCCGCACGCGCGCGCTCCCCTGCTTTAAGCTCCGTCGCCAGATCACCATCTGACGGCCCGGGTACCTCGTCTCGTCCCGCGCACCCCCCTGATTTAAATCCGGCAGGATCTTCTGTGCGCGCTTCCCTGTCGAGCTCGACTGGTTCCTCGTCTGCAGGCTCCATGCTGCCCCTCGCTCCCTCTCCACCTCCTGGCATTGTCACGCGCGCGCGCTGGCGTCTTTCGGCCTAACCTGCGCTATGCACGCGACTACGCTTGTGTCGTCGACACCGCGCCACCTGCCGGAGCCTCCCCCCTTCCCACATCGGTTCGCGCCGTGCTCCGTGATCCCAACTGGCTCTCTGCCATGCGCGAGGAGTACACTGCTCTTGTCAGTAACCGCACCTGGGAGCTGGTTCCCCGTCCGCCCCGTGCTAACCTCATCATGGGCAAATGGATTTACCGCCACAAAACTCGCGCGGATGGCTCGCTCGAACGGTACAAGGCCAGGTGGGTTGTCCGCGGTTTCCGTCAGCGCCCGGGTGTCGACTATGGCGAGACTTTTTTGCCTGTCGTCAAGCCGGCAACGATCCACACCGTCCTGACGATTGCTGCCTCCCGGAGCTGGCCCGTTCATCAGCTCGACGTGAAGAACGCCTTCCTTCACAGCGATTTGCGCGAGGAAGTCTACTGCCTGCAGCCTGCCGGCTTTGTTGATGCTGCCAAACCTGACCATGTCTGCAAGCTTGTCAAGTCCATGTATGGCCTGAAACAAGCGCCACGGGCATGGTTTTTGCGCTTCGCCGGGTTCGTCAGTACGATCGGCTTCCGCGCCACGCGCTCCGACAGCTCCTTGTTCATGTACCAGAGCGGCGCGGACGCTGCGTTCTTGCTGCTGTATGTGGATGATATCGTCCTTACTGCATCAAGTGTTGCGCTCCTTCACCGCATCGTCACCAAGCTCACCGGCGAGTTCGCCATGAAGGACCTCGGCGAACTGCACTACTTCCTTGGCATTCGTGTCACTCGCTCGCCGTCAGGATTCTTCCTCTCCTAGCAGCAGTACGCGGACGACATCCTCGAGCGCGCCGGCATGGACACCTGCAAGCCCGTAGCTACTCCAGTCGACACCAAGGCCAAGCTGCCTGCTGCCGATGGGCCGCCCGTCGATGATCCCACTGCCTATCGCAGTCTGGCGGGTGCTCTGCGGTACCTCACGATCACCCGGCCCGAGCTGGCATATGCTGTGCAGCAAGTATGCCTGCACATGCACGATCCGCGGGCTGGGCACCTGGCTCTGCTCAAACGTGTCCTTCGCTACGTTCGGGGCTCGCCTGGCCTTGGCCTCCATCTTCATGCCTCGATGAACCTCGACCTACGCGCCTACACTGACGCGGACTGGGCCGGCTGCCCGGATACGCGCCGCTCCACTTCTGGATTCTGCGTCTACCTCGGCGATGCCCTTGTCAGCTGGTCGTCCAAGCGCCAAGCTACCGTGTCCCGTTCCAGCGCGGAAGCTGAGTACCGCGCCGTGGCGAATGCAGTTGCCGAGTGTGTCTGGCTTCGGCAGCTCCTCGGTGAGCTGCTCTGCCCAGTGCGCTCCGCCACACTGGTCTTCTGCGACAACATCTCGGCTGTCTACCTCTCCAGCAACCCCGTTCATCACCGACGCACGAAGCACGTCGAGCTCGACATCCATTTCGTCCGCGAACGCGTCGCGTTGGGCGAGTTCCGCGTCATGCATGTCCCCACACGACAGCAGTTCGCCGACGTGATGACGAAGGGGCTGCCATCAGACATCTTCAGAGAATTCTGCTCCAGTCTTTGCGTCTCCTCCGACGACGTCACGACTGCGAGGGGTGTCAGCAGACATAGTCTGCGTGTGTGTGCGTGTGTTGCCAGCGCATGTGTGCGTGTGGTTGTGTTTGTGGACAGACCATGGTAGTGCCTGTAGTGGGCGTAGTGGCAAGAGTAGTGGCACACGATCTAGCAGTGGCTGCGGTCATGTAACTGTATATATACCCAGCCTCTGAGCTAATGCACGTGTGTTGAATCCCTTCTTCCTCTAACATGACCGAGGTCCAACACCTATTCTTTAGGGCCAGCCATGAGAAGAACTAACACTGCAAGGGCACACCGGATCTCCAAGTGAAATCTGCCGTGGGAATGACCTCTCGTCCCCAGAACCTCGCGTCATATGCCGAATTGTTGTGATGTCACCCGTTGGACTCCCATGCGTAGGTAACAGTATCTGCCTGTGTTGGGTGTAGCTCGAAGCTGTCCACTCTCGTCCATAGTTCAAAGTACTCTTGTAACAGATCCGTCGAGAGTTCTGGGCCGATGCCAGCTGCCCAAGTGCCCTCCTGGGCCTGCTGGACTGTGCTCGTGGATCTTGCATGCTTGGCCACCACGTTCTATAAGTTGGGCGCTATCTCCTGCACTCTCAGCCCATGTAGCCATTGATCCTCCCAAAACATGGCCGACCTCCCGTCATGTACAGTCGATTTTGCTGCCGCTCGGTACAGTTGCATGGATTCCTCCACGACATTGATGTTGAATTCTGCCCATGGTCTCGACGCGTCCGATCTTTGTAACCACGACCATCGAGATTGCATCGCTATATTAATCAATCTTAGGTTTGGGATGCCGAGTCCACCTGCCCACTTGGGTGAGCACACATGCTCCCATGCCACCACACATTGCCTGCCATTGGCCTACGCTTTGGCGCACCAAAGGAACCCTCGACAAATTTTGTTCATCGCCGTAATCATCTTCTGCGGCAGCTCAAGAGCCGTCATCGCATGAATCGGTATTGCACACAACAGACTGCACCAAGATCAAACGGCCGCTCTTGGTGGGCAAATGTCCTGCCAGCTTATCCACCAATGTGCTCAGCTGAGCCTCTTGGTTGTTACTCACTCTGTAAATAAACATCAGAGTGTTTAGATAAGTAGTGATATAAACACTCTTATATTTCTTTTCTTTACAGGGGTACTTACAATCGTGAGCAGCTGATCAACTGTTGGAGTATGTCTTTGTGCGTTTTTATTGACGAACAACAAGTTTACTCCCCACACCCGGCCTCTATATGCACACAGCCAAATCAACGGCACTATGCTAATCATCAAAACTTTGATCAACCACAGTATTTATGGTTGGTGCGTCCAATTAACGAATTTGGTTTGTCCATGCTAATGGATGGAAAGCATGGACCATTTCCCCGCAAAACAGGAAAGAAATCATGAGCCATCGTCCAAGAAAGAGAGGGCCTGCACCACGAGTGATCCTGCTTTCTGATGGGACCGCCTTGCCCGGGGCGGTAGGCGCATCCAGCGGCAACCCAACAGCACGGGAAATCACTAGTGTTTACTAGTACTACCGAGCAGAGCTTCGTTGCTACAAGTAGCGGGTAGGAATCTGGTGAGGCTGTAATCCTCCGTTTACTAGTACGGTATGTAATCAAGTAGTTCCTCCGTGCAAAATTACTTGCCGCCCAAACAGATATATCTAGACGTGGGATAGTACATAGGTGTAAGATGGAAACAGGGATTTTGTTGTCTGGTCAGGCTAGGGAAACCAACACCAAGACCAGTCAATTTCGCCATCTCCAACAAAACAATCAATCTCCGCACTCCAGTTTTGGACAAACACGGGCAACCAACATCAAACGAGAGCATAGCACTTGAAGAGCAAAATCCCTCAGCTGATCTCAACTGGCAACCAACACGCAAGATAGTACTGCTGGATAATACATGATGCACCTAGAGTAGAGGAACAAAACGACACATGATGCAAGCCAGATTCGAGTTATTACGACGACGATCCATGGCACCAACTTGGCAACAAGGTATGAAGCTACTGGGATCGAGCGGCGAAGCGCTCCACGCCGGGGTCGGACAGGTTGATCCCCACCATGGCCTCCCCGAGCCCGGCGCTGACGTTGGCCAGGATCTCCGGGTCGCTGTAGTGCGTCACAGCCTGCACGATGGCGCGGGCGCGACGCGCCGGGTCGCCGCTCTTGAAGATGCCGGAGCCGACGAAGACCCCGTCGCACCCGAGCTGCATCATCAGGGCGGCGTCCGCGGGGGTGGCCACGCCGCCGGCGGCAAACTGCACGACCGGGAGGCGCCCGAGCTGCTTGGTCTGCATCACCAGGTCGTACGGGGCGGCGATCTGCTTGGCGTAGCTGAAAACCTCGTCCTCGTCCATGTTGCGCAGGGCGCGGACGGCGCCCATCACGGAGCGGACGTGGCGGACGGCCTCCACCACGTTGCCGGTACCGGCCTCCCCCTTGGTGCGGATCATGGCGGCGCCCTCGCGGATGCGGCGGAGCGCCTCGCCCAGGTCGCGGCAGCCGCACACGAAGGGGACGCGGAAGTTGTGCTTGTTGATGTGGTGGGCCTCGTCGGCGAGGGTCAGGACCTCGCTCTCGTCCACGTAGTCCACGCCGATGGCCTCCAGGATCTGGGCCTCCACGAAGTGCCCGATGCGGGCCTTGGCCATCACCGGGATGGTGACGGCGCGCTTGATGTCGCGGATGAGGGCCGGGTCGGACATGCGGGCCACGCCGCCCTGGGCGCGGATGTCGGCGGGCACGCGCTCCAGCGCCATGACGGCGCAGGCGCCGGCCTCCTCGGCGAGGCGCGCCTGCTCGGCGGTGACGACGTCCATGATGACGCCGCCGCGCAGCATCTGGGCGAGGCCCACTTTGACGGAGAAGGTGGCGGCAGCAGGCTTGGCGGAGGGCTCCACCACCGCCTTGTTGTTGCCGTACAGGGCCACCACGCCGTCGGAAGCCATTGATTCTTCTCCCTCCGATCCGCCGCCGCAACAATCTTCTCTTCCTCTTTGGGGGGTTTGGGGCTGGGGTTGGGGATGGATGAGATGTGGTTCTGCTCTAGTGGAGTGGTCGAGGAGAAGTGGAGCTGGACTTGACTTGCAACTGGACACGCCGAGACAGAGAGAGTGCCGGGCTAATGGGCCGTTCGTTCCGGTCCAACAATCCAATTTTATCCCATCCATCTCGGTTGCCTAAAAAAATAAAATAAAATGGATTCTCAAAAAATATTTTAAAAATCAATATATCAATCTGAATGCTCAGGTTGTTTCCCTCAAAAGAAAAAGTTATCAAAACAACTACTCACATGTTTATCTACTAGTAAATATGACAATGCATTGCAACGGAAGAAATATCGCACAACACATATGTTAATGAACTATGACAGTAATGCCTAAAAATAGGGACCCATGAATTCACATGAATACATGCATTTGAAATAAAAACAACGACTAAAGCAACTAAATATGAATGTTTTCATAAAATCATTTGAACCTAGCTTTTGTTTAAGTGCCTTCTCCAATCCTTCCAAACTTTTCTAAAATCCCACGCCTTTTCTACTTGAATATAGACCTCCAAACCTTTCCCTTACTTATTTCTGCATTTATCAGAGCTCCACCAAAAATATCAACATTTTTGAAAATTCAAATGAGTCCGAATTCAACTTTTCCAAATTGGGAGTAACTTTTTTATTTGGGCTAAGTATAAATCTTAAACATTTTATAAAATCGTTGGCTATTTCTTTTCTTCTTTTCCCCCTCTCTCTAATTTCCTTTTTGAGGCAACCCTCTCTCTGATTTTTGTAAATGGGAAAAGGAAATAAAGAAGAGAGAGAGAGAGAGAGAGAGAGAGAGAGAGAGAGAGAGAGAGAGAGAGAGAGAGAGCAGGGGCAGCACAATGGGCCTGCCCACCGAACCTAACACGGCCTAAGGCCCAGGTCGGCCTCCTCTATAACCCTAGAGCCCCGATTCCCTCCTCAACCTCGCTCGCTCGCTCCCTCGTTCGCCGCCACCCACCTAGAGTCGCTCGCACGCGCAGGCGGCCCAATCCCCACGTTATTCCCTCACCCACTCCTTCGTTTCCCCTGGTGCAAGATTCGCTGCCGCCGTCAGCCATCTAATCCGACCGTCGCCGCTTCCACTGACGAGCGCCGCCTCCCGCGCGGCTTGGCGGCCTCTGATGTCTACTACGCAACTTTATTCTTGTAGACTCGTGTTGGGCCTTCAAGCATAGAGTTTTATAGGACAGTAACAGTTTTTCCTCAAGTGGATGACCTAAGGTTTATCAATCCGTCGGAGGCATAGGATGAAGATAGTCTCTCTCAAGCAACCCTGCAATCAAATACAAGAAATCTCTTGTGTCCCCAACACACCCAATACAATGGCAAATTGTATAGGTGCACTAGTTCAGCGAAGAGATGGTAATAAAAGTGTAGTATGGATAGTAGATATGAGTTTTTGTAGTGCGAACAATAAAAAACAAAAGGTAGTAAATAGTAAAACGAAGCACAAACGGTATTGCAATGATGGAAAAATGAGGCCTAGGGTGCATACTTTCACTAGTGCAATCTCTCAATAATGCTAACATAGTTGGATCATATGATTATCCCACAAAGTGCAATAAAGAATCACTCCCGAGTTCCTATTCACGGAGAACAAAAGATAAAAATTGTTTGTAGGGTACGAAACCACCTCAAAGCTATTCTTTCTGATCAATCTATCCTAGATTTCATACTAAAATAACACAAAGCTATTCTTCCCGATCAAGCTAACCAATAGTCCGTACTAAAATAACACCACAGGACACACATCAACCAAATCTAATGTCACCTAGATACTCCAATGTCATCACAAGTATCTGTGAGTTAATTCTACGATATGCATCAAACAACTTCCTGATGATAAAATTCAATCCACATAAAGAACTACAAGAGACCCCAAAGTTTCTATCGGATAAAAGATAATAAAAACGTGGATCAACCCCTATGCATAGATTACCCCAATGTCACCTCAGGAATCGCAAGTTGAGTGCCATAATGTACATCAAGTAAATCAATATGATACCCCATTGTCACCTCAAGTATTCATACCGCAAGACATACATCATGTGTTCTCATATCTGAACATTCAATCCGACAAGACAAAACTTCAAAGGATAAAGATTCAATTCATCACAGCAAGTGTAGAGAGGGGAGAAACATCTATGATCCATCTATGTTAACAAAGCCCATGATACATCAAGACTGTGACATCTCAAGATCACGAGAGAGAGAGAGAGAGAGAGAGATTAAACACATAGCTACTGGTACAAACCCTCAGCTCTGAGGGTGGACTACTCCCTCCTCATTGTGGTGGCCGCCAGGATGATGAAGATGGCCATCGGCGATGATCTCCCCCTCCGGCAGGGTGCTAGAACGGGCTCCCGATTGGTTTTCGGTGACTACGGAGACTTGCGGCGATGGAACTTCCGATCTAGGTTCTCCTCGAGGGTTTTCAGAATATTTGGTGATTTATAGGGCAAAGAGGGGGTGCTAGAGGCCACTAAGGTGGGCAAAACCCACCTGGGCGCGCCCTGGTGGGTTGTGCCCCCCCTTGGGGCACCCCCATGTGCTTCTTTGGCCCACTGGATGTCTTTTGGTCCATAAAAAATCCACAAAAAATTTCGCGGTGTTTGGACTTCGTTTGACATTGATTTCCTGCCATGTAAAAAACAAGCAAAAAAACAGCAACTAGCATTGGGCATTGGGTCAATAGGTTAGTCCCTAAAAATGATATAAAGTTGTTATAAAATGATTAAAACATCCAAGAATGATAATAAAACAACATGAATACTTCATAAATTATAGATACGTTGAAGACGTATGAGCCTCCAGCCCCAGCGCCTCTCGCTTCTCCAACTCGTCACGCTAGTCTCCTCCCAGCGCCCGCTGCCGCCGTGGCTCCGCTTTGGAGGCACTCCTCGCCCCAACTCGTGTCCTCTCCGCTAGACCGCCCTGGATCTAGCCGCCCTTTGTCTGCCATGGTGTGCCGCAGTGGCTCGGTTGGTCGCCAGATCTGGCGGCGGTGATTGGAGATGCTGCTTCATGTTCATCGGCCTGTGGGCGCGGGGGCAGCTTGCGAGGTGGGCTTGTGGCGGAGGCACTCTGGCACAGCGGTGGCCTGCTCAAGGTCATCCTTGGCGGCTGCGTGTACTACGGCTATTGATGGCGCAAGATGTCGGGGTGGCGTTTGTGTATCACATAGTCTTCAGGCTAGCGCTATCAATCTTCAATCTTTTTTGGTATCCTGTTGGCTATGTCTCGACCTTTTTATTAGGCTGGGCACCCCATACTGCTTTTTGTTGGATTCATGCGCCTCTCCTCTTTCATTGGCCGTATCTCATTGATACGTTCATCTTGCATCATGTTTTCCTACTATTATTTATAGTGTTTTTATTCATTATAACACTTTGTGGAGTAATACTAATGCATTTTCTCTCATAATATGCAAGGTTTACACAGAGAGGGAGAAAGCCGGCAGCTGGAATTCTGGACTTGAAAAAGCTATGTCAGAGGTACCTATTCTGCACATCTCCAAATTAGTTGAAATTTCACGGAGAATTATTTTGGAATATATAAAAAATATTGGAATCAAGAAGTATCAGAGGGGGCCACCTAGGTTCCCACTAGGCACCAGTCGGAGCCACCCCCTCCAGGGGCGCCCTGCTGGGTAGTGGGGGCCCTAGCCCACACTACAAAAAAAGACACATCCGTGACATTTTGGGCCGAACAAATTTTGTTCTGTCATACTTATGACACTTCTATGACGATAATTGTGACAAAACCCGGTATCATCGTAGATGTGGTGGGCTCCTACTTCTATGACAAAAAATCATAACAGAAAATGGGCTTTTCGTCCTAGGCAGGCCGGAGACGCGGCTGCATGACATTCTTTGGGCCGTCCATGACGGAAAAAACCGTGGTAGAAGCGAGGGCGAGGAAAATATCGGGGTGTTCCCGGTTACGGTGGGTGGTCGGGGCCAAGCGATGCACGGAGGTTTGCGTGTTTCTCTCATACACGCACGCGCGTGGGGTGCGAGTCGTTGGGCTCTAACTGAACCCGAGCGAGGCGTTCGCCTACTGAACCCGAGTGATTGCACTGCAGGCTACGCGTTACTGAACCCAAGCGATCGATCGATGGTTGTTAACTGAACTCGGTCGAGCGATTCCTTCGCTACTGCTGCTAACTGAAGCCGATCGATGTTGCCTCTGGATGAACAGTGAGCTTTGCTGGGGGGTTTGGATGAACAGTTCCCGGTGGGGGTGGATGAACATGACCCCGTGGTGTTGCCTCTGGATGAACATGACCCAGATCGATCCAGCCGGTTGGGGCTGGATGAAAAGGACCCCATGGAGGGCTGGATGAACAGGACGACCCCGTGGAGGGCTGGTTGAACAGTAGCCGGTGGAGGGCTGGACGAACAGTAGCCCGTGGAGGGGTGGTTGAACAGGAGCCCGTGGAGAGGGCTGGTTAAACAGTAGCTGGTGGAGTAGCACGCGGTGGAGGCTGGATGAACAGGAGCCCGTGGATGAACAGTCGCAGGAGGAGGCTGGAGGAGGTCGATGGTGGATGAAAAGTAGCCCGTGGAGGCTGGAGGAGGTCGACAGTGGAGATGAACAGTATCTCGTGGAGTCCTGTTTTGCGGTACGCCACACCCCTCCCGATGAACATGACCCCCGTTTCGATCGTAGCGCTCCAACACAAGTCTGTTTCCTCCATTTTGCGGTACGCCACACCCCTCCCGATCAACAGGACCCCGTTTCGACCGTTGGAGGTCCAACAGAAGTAAGTTTCCTCCGTATTGCAGTATGCCAGACCCCTCCCGATGAACAAGATCCCGTTACGAACATGGCCGGTCGAACACAAGGCCGTTTCCTCCATTGTGCAGTACGCCAGGCCTCATTTCCATTGGCTGTTCCGTCCAA